TATATATATATATATATATATATATATATATATATATATATATATATATATGATGGGGTCTCGCTTTTTGACTGCCTCCACAGTTTTAGAACTCAATCGCTAGACAACTCACACAGATTATTTTATTGTCGGCAGCGAAGGTTTATATAGATTCCAACCCCAGGTTCTGTAAGAACTAATAACCAGAGTTTTCCTAAGAAATACTGCACATTGTTACAGGAATTCTCTAAATATCTCTCCAGGAATTCTTCAAATATTATCACGAAATCTAACCTAATCGGTGAAAGGGCGGAGTCAAAGGTCAATATATTTCCACGGAAATGTCATAGTTTGCATTAAGAGTTTATCTTCCCTTGGACTGTCTGCTGTGCACAGCAAGAGATCTAATGTCTGCCTAGAGGAAGATGGATTCATTTCATTCCATACCAGAGAGTACACACACACACAGATACACAGACAGACAGACACACACACACACACACACACACACACACACACACACATATATATATATATATATATATATATATATATTTTAATTTAATATAAAGAAAAACAGACCACTTTAAGGCTTTATTAGTTATAATTTATTTCACCAGAGAATTTTCCTTTAGATCTTCAAACTTCACTTTCAATGGTGAAACGAAAAATGAATTTAAAATTTACAATTTTGACGGGCAGTATAAAGCTTATATAAGTTGACATAGAGGGTGGTGAGGGATAGTGTGAGAGACATGGTCAAATTTAGAGAGGGAAGGGAAAGTTTTAAAATTTATTTTTTCCTTTTATTACAATATGCGAGGAGGGGTAAGGATCAGACATTGATCTATTTAATCGGTGAACTCAACAGAAATGATATGGAAAAAAGTGAGGAATAAAGAGATAAGATATAAGAGATATACGTAGGGTTTTTGGAGGAAGGAGAGGGGTGGTATAGCTTTAGAAATTTATGTATATATATATATATATATATATATAGAGAGAGAGAGAGAGAGAGAGAGATATTATGTATCAAAAATTACTTTTACAAAATTTAGGAGCTGGTTCCTCACACGAAAACAGGGACAAAAGTCCATACAAATAAATGTCCGCAAATCTTTCGTTTTTGATTTATTAAATTAAAAAATTTTACTGAGATTGCGCTGCTGTCATTCGTGTATATTTGTGGTCAATCTGTCTTCAACATTTAACGTGCGTAGTAATGAGTTAACTGTTAATTGTCCCCTTTAACAATGGCAGGACATTCATATCATGAGCAGGCAGATTTGATTTTTACATACGGCCGTGCGAATGGTAATGGACCCGAGGCTGCACGGTCGTTTCAGATTACATTATCACGTACCCCCCCCCCCAAAGTTTGCGAAAGGATTTTGGATACATCATGTATATATGAATTTTTGTTAAGTCTATAAGTAAGTTTAATTCTTTCTGTCACTAACCCTCTCCATCTATCAATTTCTTTTATTACTTACATTATTTACATTAAGGATAATGTGTTCATCTTTTTTCTTCATATCACAATGTCTCGGCCGTTGTGGTATCCAGCCTTCTTCAAGTGAATGTCGATCTATGTAACCTTCAGGGAATTTTGTACTGAATCTTTTAGCTAATATACACGTGTAGAATATTCCCATTACCCTGTCTATGTCTAGGAGTGTCTCGTTTTTTTCTTGATCAGTACTGTTCAGTTATTGATCACCCTGATCTTACTGAGTCTACAACGGTACTACCCGCCCCAGGGATTGAACTCGCGATTACTATGGCAGCACATTCACGACCAATGCGTAAATTTACTAGGCGCTTAGTTCGAGATATCCCTAGACATGATCAGGGTAACGAGAAACATCTACCCCGGTAGATTAAATAAACGATTCAATTCAAAATTAATCCCAGATCAATTGACACTATACGAAACGTTCTGATAACAACAACAAACAAGAAAGACATTGGCGAGGAAAAATGGCTCTCTGTGCTGCGCTAGGAAGTTTTTCTCCCCGGAATCGATATACAAATCAACAATTCGCCCTTGTATGGAGCATTGCTGCCATATATGGTCCGGTGCACCTTCTGTTTACCTCGGAGTTCTTGACAAGTTCCAGAGGTGGATATGTAATATAATTGGCCCTGATCTGTCATCTCGTCTACAGTTGCTCTTTCACAGATGCGCCGTCGCTTCTCTCTGTCTTTTTTACAAGTACTTTCAAGCTCCGATGAGCTGCTCTCACTGGTTCCCAGACTTTATGAATTCAAACGCCCTACGAGGCTGGCATCCCGCTCTCACCCTTTCACTGTAGAAACCTTTAAATGTAGCCGTCTCTTCTACTCCAATAGCTTCATACCTCGCACCTCTCGCCTGTGGAACACCCTTCCCTATTACTGTTTCCCTGAGAGCTATAATCTCCAACTATTCAAATGTAATGTCAATCGACATCTCCAGTCGTGAAGGCACTAGGATGCAGGGGGTTGCGGAAGATTTGGAGCGAGAGCAGATAGGAGTGATAGAAGAAAGGATGAGGAGAGGGATAGTGGATAGATCACGCCTTGCTCGGGGCGTAATGTTTAAAAAAAAACAAAATAATCCAACTGAAAATGCAGACAGAATATATTTCTATTCTTCTCTTGTAGTTCTATATATGCTGCCCTTATAACGATTATAAGAACTGATGTGCGTGTCCCTTAACCCATTAGGGTCCTAGAAACACGACATTTACTAAATCCATAGCTACAGTCATCGGCAAGATAACCTGACGGGTCCCCGACCCTTTTCAGGCTGGTTTTGAATTCAGTATCCCTTCTCCTAGACTGGTTACAGCCCGAAGGTAAGAGAGTTCAGTTTCCCCGCTATTTAACCCATACGTTGAGGAAGATGGATTCATACATTTTCTAAAGGCATTGGCGCGAGGTGAACGGAACAGAATCAAGCGGGATTTGAACTCAGCGCAACCAATTCACTTTCTATGCCATTCAAAATTCACACTGTAAACAGATAAATAGTTGAAATACAGTATGTTCCATCTCTAGGACTATTTCCCACCCCAAGACAGCAAAGTAAATCCTGTTATTTAACCCACAGCTGGAGGAAGATCTCTCTATGACTTATCCAGGGCTTTAGTGCGAAGTGATCGAAGTGATCGGTTATTGTTAAACCTTAAAATATCTGTAACTCTACTTATATCTATGTTGTTATTTTAAATCTTTAGTCTCCATATACAGAGCGTCCTTTTTTGCTAGGCATTGTTGCTATGGCTTCCCATCGTATGTAGCTTTTACAGGATGGATTTGTTAGTTCTACGCCCAACTGGTTTTCAATTCATAGTAGTCCTTCTCTTAGAGTGGTTACCAACAAAATCTACAGTGTTCAGTCAGCCTTGCCATGAGTTCAATCCCAGCATCAGATAGTGAAACACTGCTTCAACAGGAAGGAGCAATAACTGATATCACAGGGACAAAATAACACAATAAGTGGCACTTGATGATGGCAACAGGCTACTTGAGTAAAACTTCGTGTCTATAAGAACACCTATAACAACCAAGATAAAAAAAATGTTTCGAAATAATTAGAGCTTATTCAAGTTTAAAAAAAACAAATGGAGTGTCTACTCAAATATGGTTATCCATTAAAAATAATGTTTGAAGTCATAAAAAAGTGTAGGATTTAGAACTTTTAAAAAATCCATTGATTTTTAGAAAGAATATATATATATATATATATATATATATATATATATATATATATATATATATATATATCATCCACTGACAAACTGTTTCGCTCTTATCACAGCTCATCAGTGTGGCTAGATGTCCGGTTGCCTCTAGCTAGGATTGAAACTTAATTGGCGTCAGTTGGGGATTCTACCACTAAGCCATTGGCCTACAGATAGGAATGAAGTTGAATTTAAGTATATTTAATTTTAGATAAACACACAGTGACTGAGAGAAATCGATTCAATTTACCAAAGAGTCATGCATTATTAGCTATAATAGTCACTGTTTACAAACCCACACTTCCTCACCAGAGAGATCAACCAAAATAAATTCTTTCAGGAGCCTATGATAATAAAGAAACATATGCTTCTTATACTTATGTAGATGTAATAGGCTGGTGAAAGAAATTTGTGAGATAAAATTACAAAGATTTTTAAAGAGGAAGATTCTAAGAATTGGAATTTTTGCACACGCCTGTTTTCTTTCTCAATTAGATGAGAAATAAAAATATTAAAAATGAAGTGGTACTTTCTTTTCTGGGGAATTTTATTTCTGCATGTGTTATATTACCTAAGAAATCTGATCGTTCTGGGCAAGTTGTTTGCTATGATTAGGGTTGCAGACACTTTGTAGAAGGCTTTCTCGTTTAGGCAATCATATCTCTTTCGATTCATGACTTATGAGGCAGAAGATGTTCCCGCAGTAGGCGGCATTGTCTTTCTGTTGATATTGGTTCATCTCGATTTTTTTTTTATTATTTTGCACTTTATAAACCAGAAATTTAGGCACCTCGAGGCGGTGTAATGGTTAGCAAGCTTGTCTCGCTAGAACAATTACGACTGAGTAGTGAGTTCGATACTCACTGGGTGCCCCCTACTTTCGGCTTTGTGCCACGTCTAAGCTACGCTTGGAAAATCAATATAAACCAGAAATTAGAGCGTGTGGTTAAATATGCATAAAAATTACAGCATGAAAGTCCGGGACAAAACAATCCAAGTTATTTCTCTTGAAATGAATCGATTTAAGTGCAGATAAAATGCTTTCTCCATAAGTTACGTTATTTTCTGTTTTCATCTTTTGTTGTAACCTAGAAAAGGTTACTGAATGAGGAATAACCAAAACGGAGGTTGGAAATGAAATGGTAATCTTTATAATATCAACAAAATACAATACTCGCCAGCGGCGTGAAGTAGGTAAACCACTGCTCGTGGTGGACTACTTAGACAGCATATTACCTCCACTTACAATAGAGTCCAACATATTTATGAGGATTGGGACATACCAGATGATGTTCATAGATACGGTATATAACAGATAGATAGATAGATAGATAGATAATGTTGTAATCTAGAAAGGGTTACTGGATTAGTAATAACCAAAACGGACGTTGGAAATGAAATGGTAATCTTTATAACATAAATAAAATACAATACTCGCCAGCGGCGTTAAGTAGTTAAAACACTGCTAGTGGTGGACTACTTAGACAGCATATTACCCACCACTTACAATAGAGTCCAACGTATTTATGAGGATCAAGATATACCCATTAGTGCTCATAGGTAAGGTATATAACATCTTTCCTACTCAAAATGCAAATATTTACATTTATAAATACAATTAGGACATGATTCTAACAGACTGAGCAAATATGAAGTCGGGATGCTGAAGGTAACGTCACATCAATCAGCTAACTTTTACTTATATATATATATATATATATATATATATAAAGACAAAAAGAAAACTTATCTTAGACGACGCGTTTCATCAAGGCAAATGAACTTGCCTCAGAGGATTAAACGCGTCGCATAAGGTATGTTTTCCTTTTGTCTTTATTCATATTGTCCTTTTACAGATATACTCTGAAATTCTTAAACACACACACACACGTTTATGTGTTTTTCTTGCCTACATCGATTATAATCTTAAATTATTGATTAATTTTTCTTTATAATTTTATTATTATTATTATTATTATTATTATTATCGACATATATTTACTTATCTCTTTATTAATTTAATCAGAATCTCTGGAGGTTTTTTTTTTAAATTTTAACATTTTTTTAAAGAATTTCATTTTTTAAAATCTATGTTATTTCTTTATATTGATGTCAAATATTTTAATATCATTACTATTATTATTTTCGGTTTGTAATTGTGACGATTATAATGTGAGGGTGATGGTTTCACTGCTTAAAAGGGTAATACAATTTCAATGTATCTATTTTAAATATGATCCCTCCCTTTCCCCAACCGATTTTTAACTTGTCAAGACCTGGAAAAATATCTCCTGTGTCACCCTGTTAACTTCCTTAAATCTCTCTCTCTCTCTCTCTCTCTCTCTCACACACACACACACACACACATACTATGTTATCCTTGCCACTCTCAATATCTATCTCTCACTTCTTCGTAAAAAATTATATTGAAATATCCATATTTCTCTCCCTTTTGTCCTTTCCCCGTTTAATATTAAAACTTTTTTTCCTTTTTCTCTTTTCTCTCTCTACTTTTTTCTGTTCCTTCTCTCGGAATGAATTGAATTCCATTTATTTTTGTAAAACTCTTCTGAAAAAATGGATATCTGAGATCCACAAAATAAATAATTACCTGACCCAATGGATTTTTAAGGATTCTGTATTCACTGTTATATTTGCTCTGTTCTTACATTGAGCTCTCTTTGGATTTATATCTTCGCTCGAATTATTCCTACTAAACATCACGTAGGTAAGCTTATTATATATATATATATATATATATATATATATATATATATATATATATATATATAATATATAAGTAAGATTACCTACGTATGCTTTTACATGTAGTTTTTATAGGTTGATAAAATTAATTCGGGAGACAAAAAGTCGATAATATATATATATATATATATATATATATATATATATATATATATATATATATATATATAGAGAGAGAGAGAGAGAGAGATAGGATAGGATACAGAACAAATAGGAAACGTTTATCAATCTAATATGCTTTTCTTTATGATAGAATGATATATATGAAAAAGAAATTTAGGTATTTTTATTTTCATTCCATTCACATTGGCGAAGTTTAATTCGTTTTGTCGCGTTGATTACAAATATAGCCATTTTTCTCAAGATAAATGACGTTTGTTCAAAGATCCTGTTTTTTAAATATTTCATACAATTTTTAAAAATAACTGCCATATTGTCGAAATATTATTAAACCTTGTTCCGTGTCCTTTCTTTTCTTTTTTCTTTTCTTAAACCGTACTGTCCTCTATGTGTTATAATAATAATAATAATAATAATAATAGTAATATCAGCCGTTTTCTTATATAAAAAACATTCGGCATTCATTGACAGATTTTTCTTGTTTGGTACAGTTTTTTTGGTGTGTGTGTGTGTGTGTGTGTGTGTGTGTGTGTGTGTGTGTGTGTGTGTGTGTGATACTTTGTCCCGAGGTTCAAAGAAGGGTGGTCCTCGCAAAGACCGACAGAGTTCTCTTGCACCGAAGCCATTTTTAATCATTGATCTTAAGTAGCGGTTATATAGAGTTGAATGTAGAGACGTTTCTAAACCGATTGCACTTTATGCATAACAGTCATAGAAAAAAGGGTTTTTAAGAACATGATTTTGATCTTTAGGTTAATGTTTTGGTTTAGTAGCCTCTTGTAGTATTATGCCAAACTACCCGTAGCGCAGTCTATTCTATGTTCTATGTCCTTATCTCCTATACTAAATTTGTTATAACTGGTTCGTATACCGAGGTATGAGAAAATGTTAATAAAGAGGTTATTATCAAAATGGTGTTACCCTCTGCAAGATTCTGCCAATCTCTCTTCACTAATTTAAGTATTACGGGTAAAAACTCCAGGAACACGTTGAAGCATTTCTTCTTCTCTAAAACACTGCTAAACGGCTTTGCAAACAACGTTATTTTAGTCGTGCATTGCACCAGCTCATTACTGATGAGTTCTCAAAGAGACTTTTGGATAGAAAATAACTAAATCGATCACTTCGAAGAACAGGGCAACTAATTAGGACAGCAAGGTTACCTGATATCACACATCCAGAATATTTTTAGTAGCGGCATATCAAGGAAACTGTTTACAGCAGAAAAGTGAAACAGGATAAAAGGATAAAAATATTTTTATTTCAGAAGAGGCGGGTTCGATTACATCGGAAATATTTCAAAATGATATTTGAATTTTGCTTCGTGATATTTACGAGAATTATAAACATTTAGATAGGGAAATGGAGATTGGGTGCATTATTACAAAGAAAGAAAAGAAACAAAGAATGAGTGAAAAAAGAATAAATGAAAGAAAGATTGAGGGAGAAAGCGAAAGAAATAAAGAATGAAAGAAAACAAATGAAAGAAAGAAAACCGAACGAAAGAAGGAAATAAAGACTAAAGAAATAATGAATTAAAAAATGTAAAAATGAAAGCTTAAACGAAATATTAAATGAAAGAAACGATGAAAGAAAAATGAATAAACGAAAGAATGAAACAAGCAAACAAGAAATAAAAATGAACGAAATACAAAACAAAAAGCGAAAGAAAGAAACAAACAAAGAAAATGAAACAAAGAAAGGTAGAAGACTGAAAAAGGAAAAAGAAAAAAGAAGGAAGGAAAAAGAAACAAAAAAGAAAGAAAGAAGGAAAAAGGAAAAAGAAACAAAAAAGAAAGAAGGAAGGCAAAAGGAAAAAGAAACAAAGAAAGAAAAAAGAAAGAAGGAAAAAGAAACAAAGAAGAAAGGTAAAAGGAAAAAGAAATAAAGAAAGAAAAAGAAAGAAGGAAGGAAAAAGAAACAAAAAAGAAAGAATGAAGGGAAAAGAAAAAAGAAACAAAGAAACAAAAAAGAAAGAAGGAAAAAGTAAAAAGAAACAAAAAAGAAGGAAGGAAGGAAAAAGAAACAAAGAAACAAAAAAGCAAGAAGAAAGGAAAAAGGAAAAAGAAACAAAGAAAGAAAAAAGAATGAAGGAAAAAGAAACAAAAAAGAAAGAAGGAAGGAAAAAGAAACAAAGAACGAAAAAAGAAAGAAGGAAAAAGAAACAAAAAAGGAAGAATGAAGGAAAAAGAAACAAAGAAAGAAAAAAGAAAGGAGGAAGGAAATAGAAACAAAGACAGGAAAAAGAAACAAAGAAAGAAAAAAGAAAGGAAGGAAAAAGAAACAAAAAAGAAAGCAGGAGGGAAAAAGAAAGAAAAAAGAAAGAATGAAGGAAAAAGTAACAAAGAAACAAAAAAGAAAGGAAGGAAAAAGGAAAAAGAAACAAAAATGAAAGACGGAAGGAAAAAGGAAAAAGAAACAAAGAAAGAAAGAAGGAAGGAAAAAGAAAAAGAAAAAAAGAAAGAATGAAGGAAAAAGGATAAAGAAACAAAAAAGAAAGGAGGATGGAAAAAGAAACAAAGAAACAAAAAAGCAAGATGAAAGGAAAAAGAAACAGAAAAGAATGAAGGGCGGAAAAAGGAAAAAGAAACAAAGAAACAAAAAAGAAAGAAGGAAAAAGGGAAAAGAACAAAAGGAAGAAAAATAAATGACAGACTGAAAAGTAAATGATAATGAAGGAAGAAAGAAAGAAAAAGAACCTAGGAGATTCTATAAATGAAAAAAAAACAATATATGAATGAAAGAATAAAAAGAAAAGAAGAATGAAAGAAAGAATAAATTTGAGAAAAATCGAACGAAATAAATAATGATAGAAAACGAATGAAAGAAAAGAAAGAACGAAAGATAGAATTAAAGAAGGAAAGATTAAAGAATTAATGAATGAAAACTGAAAGCGTGAATGAAATATTAAATGAAAGAAAGAGTGAAAGAAAAATGAACAAAAGAAGGAAAGAAACAAACAGAAAAAATAAAAATGGACGAAACAGAAACCAAAAAGCGAAAGAAAAAAAAATGAAAAAGAAAGAAAAAATAAAAGAAGGACAAAGAAAGAAAGAATAAAAGAAATCTAGAAAGTCCATAAAGTGGATAAAAGCGTTGGTTAAAGTATTTCAGTGACTTGACCCAAGGTGAGTCCAATACCTGGCTACAGCAGAGGTGAATAAGAACTTGGAGAGTTGAGTTACTAAATGGAATTAACTGAAAGTGAAATAACCAAAAAAAGGGCATGGCACGTGGAACTAGAATTATCTAACCCGATGAACGAAATAACGGTTTCGGTTCAAAATTCCAACGTATATCACCTGATGCAGGCCGGAGCGTACAACAGCCGAAACATCGTGAATATGGCAATAAAGATAATGACAATAGTCCGAAGAACGTAAATAGAAATAGGGTAAATAGTTACAATACCTCATCTCGGAAATATAGACAGATATAGAAAGAATCTCTATTTATAAAAGGCAGGATGTGTGTGTGTGTGTGTGTGTGTGTGTGTGTGTGTGTGTGTGTGTATAACGAATGCACGGCCGCAATTTTCGACGGATTTGCACCAAAATTTACATGCACATGCTCCAAGTTAGCGGGAAGGCCAAGACCGACTTTGCATTTCCCAACTCCCATCGATAGTGGAAATAATCGATTTTTTCATGCTTCTACGCCAGTTTTCATGTAGTCTACTGGCCAGAGTGAGAGCCAATAGCTGGCTGCCCCGAATAGGCTGGAAGATTCTATTGGCCAGCGTGAGAGCCAACAGCTGACTAACACGAATATTAACTAGCATGCTAGCATGCAAAAAAAAATCGATAGCTGCATTCGTCACAAGTGGGAAAAATTTAAATCTGCATGGCACTTTACTCCAATTGGCTCATTCGCTTGCTTAAACTCAACGTTGATTCTGATTCCGCAGAACTGGGTTGGGTGTGAAAAAATATTTGTCGTTAACATTCTTTTTTCATAAGGTTTTTCCAGTTACGAGTCCTTTTTTAAAGCTGATCGTTTTGTGTTCATTTTGTTTAGTTCTTTTTTCGTTACAGATTTAATGTTTAGTATAGAGCTTAGAAAAAATTCGCAGTGTGAGATAGGCAAGAAGTAAGGCATGTAGCAACATCAGCACGGCAAAGGGCACTCCTTTAAAGGCAAGGAAGGGCAAAAATATTTTAAGTCAAGTGATAGCGATTGCTGTATGAGTCGTACGATTTTTGAATCAAGCCCGGGCAACGCCGGGTCATGCTGCTAGTAAACAATAAATGAAGAAAGAAAACCGAAGAACGCATAAATAAAAGAAAGAAAGAAAGAAAGGACGAACGAACGAACATTAAGAGGGAACGAGTATAAGTAAGAAAGAATGAAAGAAGATAAGAAAAGGAACATTTGCTTTTCCGTTGTCTATATTTTAATCGAATTGTTAAAGAAAATTACGTACGTATAAAAATAAATAGAAAAATACTAGTTTAACAAAAGTTGTTGGATTTATTACGGTAGGAAGTCGAGAATAATTAAGCAATATATCACGAAGGTCGAAATAAAAATTATGCAAGAAAAGAAAAATAACGACAGTACCACTAAAGCATTATTGAAAATAAAAATTTATTATACCTTTCCCGCCTTCAAGAAAAGTAGACCTGACAATAACTTAGTGATCTTGGCAAAACAATTCCAATTTTGTCTTCCCTAACAAAAAGCATATTCCCGAAAATTCCCACACGTACACACAAACATTCGTAAAAGAAAAGAACACAGCAGACCGTCATATTAAATGAAGGAAAATGTCGATTTTTTTGCTATTTAAAGACAGGTAGATAACTAGATAGAATTAATTTGTGTCAGACGATTTTAATACTATTTCTCAAAATCATTATGCTCAACGTCAGTCTCCTGAAATAAATACTGGGCTCTCGACTGCTTCCTCTTTGGGCATCCAGATTGTATTCGGAGTCTAAAAATAGGCTTGATTTAAGAAGCACACTCAGTTGAACGTCACAAGGTTATCTTCAAAACTAGGAATAAAATACTCAAATTTACCCGAATAAAATTTTACAATTATCTAACGACGTTGACACGAGGTTTGTTTCATTTTGAATCAAGCCGCTCAGTTTCATTTTCAACATGGCCAATTGAAGATCTATAAAAGCGTCAGTCATTAAAAATTGGCAAAAGGAAATATAATCAAAGATGCCGAACAATTTGTTCTTGCCCTTGAAATTATTAATAGATCTGTGATTATTAATTAAATCTATAAAAAGAAGGGAAAAAGAAAGAAAGAAAAATTAATGAATAATAATGACAAAAGAAAGAATAAAAGAAGGAATGAAAGAAAAGAATAAAAGACTGAGGGAACGACTGAAAAAGAACGGAAGGAAAAATAAACAATCAGAAATGAAAGACAGAACAGCAGACGAATGAAGGAAAAAAATTAAAAAAAAAGAAATTAAAACAAAAAAAAATGAACAAAAGAAAAATAAAAGAATGCTTTAATGGATTTTGTTTAGCTGCATATCAAAATCTCTATGGGTTATTTAATGCCTAAATCTAAATATTTCCAACGCAGTTGTATACCTACAGCTACAGATAACATGTATTACTGGGCATTTTACTATAAACAGGTATTCTTGGTAATTTTACTATAGGTAGGTATTGTCGTTAATTTCACTACAAATATGTATTGTTGGTAAATTTTTATATAAAAATGTATTGCTAGTATATTTACTATAAAAATGCATTTTCATACTTTTATAGCGTTGGGGATTCAGTATTTGCCCATTGCTGGAACCCTAACAGGTGCTGCCACCCCGGGTCAGGGTGGGCCTGGGAACAAAAGCATTTAAGTTGTGGCTCTATGTTCCTCAAAACGTCCAATCTTGCGACCAGTGACACCTTGCCGCCGGATGTAGAGATGAAAGAATCACAGATGAAAGAAAGAGAGAAAGAATGAAAGAAAAGAAAGCAAATTAATAATGAAAGATGAAATAAGAAATAAACGAAAAAGAAAGAATGAGAAATGAAAAAAAGCTTGACAGAAGAATGAATGAAAATGAAAAAAAAGGAAAAAAAAGAGGAAAATGAGTGAAAGAAACGAATTAAAACTCTTAATAGATATTTCATTTATTCCTAATTAAAGAGTCTTCGAGATTTGATAAATTGGCAGAAGGCTGAAAATGGCACATAGTTAATAAACTGTATTTATTTTAATTAGTCTATTGTTAGGAAAACCAGAGATATTATTATACTGGATTGTTCCACCTTCTCTTGTGAAAATTTCCATTTATCCAACGAAATGGGTAAAGATGTAGTGTAGCTGTAACAGTGATGCTATACAGACCGTATGTTATACCTTTTCATTGAGACATGATAGGACAAACGCCCCAGGTTTTTCACGGTAATAGTATCAATAATACATCAGGATTATTAACTAGCCAACGAATGGATGTATTAATTCAAATCAGGTCCAATTCAATTCAGCTGCTTCTCAACCAATCAGTCAACTTACTATACACTGTAAACTGCACTGTCAACTAACTCGATTATAAACACCGCGGCATCGATTATTGCGCTTCGACTAAAACATTGTTATCGGATCGAGGAATTCTGACAATTTATCTGTTGGCTAAATGAGTAATCGTTTCAGCTATTTCTAACGGACGGTCAGTGTAGCAAGGTCTTGTTAAACTGAAGAACAGCGGAACCTGTCGCACAACTCGATACAGAACATTTACTTTCGACCGATGGTTATCAGTAAGTACAGAGCAAGAGGCTCAGACTGAGAGAAAGTCATGGAAAGAAGATTAATTACTTTTTTAGACAATTATATCTTTCTTGACATCTTCGTCTAAAATAGTAATTATACTACTGTTATCTATAAAACTGACCATCCGGCGAAAAGGCCCACGGAAGGAACAAAACGAGCCTCGCAGAATGGACCGAGGAAACATAGGCTGACTGAGCATCTCCCCCATCACCTACGCCTCATCTCGCCTTTAGCAGTAAATTAGAACGCAAGAATAAATTCTAGTTTACTGCTAGAAATTGTTTTGTTCTTCACTTGTCGGTAACAATCTGGCTGAAGGATATTTTTTAAGTCACCAGCGTTTTGCTGAAATAAACAGTACCCTGTCAACGAACCTGGTGTCTGGTTTTGAGATTCAACGCGGCATCATTTTACTGTGTAGAGGAGAATGGGCGGAATTATGGACCCACCATGTCAGTAGGATGTTGTACAAATTGGTAGTGGCTCCGCAATTGTGAGGAAAGTTCTGTTTGAGTTCTCAAGAGCTCTTAGCGGAAATTGAATCTCTCTTTACAATTTTCATCCCTATATGCTCGCTATGGTTTCTGGTGGGAGAACATTTGGGGATATTTTGCTCAGAAGAATTTTGCAAAACTCATGTATATAACACAAGTGAAAAACAATTTCAAATACTTGTAAAATTATTCACTTTGACAATTCATCATTAAGATTTTTTGATCTGTTTCACCCTATGCAAGGCAATAAAGCCACTAAGGCACAAGTGGATGCAAGGTGTGGAAGAATTAGGAACAGAAACATTACTAATCAGCGGGAAAGAGAAAAGAGTAATCAGGAGGACAGTAGATAATAATTGATATTGCATTTTATTTTTTTTTAGATTAAAGTTGGCTGGAAAGCCTAGAGTCGGAAG